ACAAAAGGATGACACCTTTGGGTAAAGTGTTTGGCAATTAGGCTCATGAAAGATGGCTTTGATCCTTGAGCTTTTCACTTTAGACCTCAAAATGATGACAATCATTCAACTTAAGTTAGCAAGATTTCCTTATTCTCTCCTTTTTTTTCTTTTAGATCTTTGCTCACCATTTTCTTCTTATATGAGTCTATCACATTTGACTGCAACTTTGGCCTCTATTTTGCAACACATCAATTAGTTCAAGGGAAGAATCTAGATCACCATCATCTTCCTTGACATGGATAGGGATCATTTGAAACATATACTAATCCTAATGGCATCATTCTATTCAAATTTATCATTAGCAAAGCCTGAAAGCAAAAAGAAACATGAATAAGTAATAGCATACAAGGAGAGTATATATATGCAAGTAAGATTTTTTTCTTTTTTTTTTTTTTGAGCATATTAATGGCATCAAGAAGAGTTGCATCAAGTTTAAAAGATAATAATATGGCAACATATGTTACTGAATTGTAAAGATTGCGATAACTAATTAGTATGATAACAAATATTTCAGAGAATATAAAGAGCTTATTATTCCTTCCTTCCATGTAGCCACAAGCTGAGCTATTAGAAAGCTGACTCATCCCACTCATAGATGAATGAAGCAGAGAAAAGCTTGACTTTGGCTAAAGTGCCCCCAAGGCAGAAGTAATGGTCAGGTCAAATAGGGGTCCATCCTTAGGAGGAATAATACTCAGGTTTCCCATGTCCTAGATTTGCCATCCACATGTCTCGTGTGTAAGTCCACTTCAACATCATGTCTTGGTGAGCTTACAAGAGCATGTTGAAGGTTGCCTTTTAGATGGATGATGCATTGCTCCAAAGAGAGAGAAAACATAGGGAGATTGTCATGCCTAATTTTTTTTTTTTTTTTGTAGTAGTAGTAGTTTATGAAGCCTACCTACAAACAAAAAGTAAAAGAAAAATAAACAAAGTCAAAATAATGTTAGAAGTCATCCCATAATTTTGCATGATTTAGTGCTTTAACAATTGTTATATGGATTCACACATTGTCGATTTCCAATCCTTAAGGAGCCTCAAATGAAGCAAAATATCTTTGCATGCCTAAGATTTTCATTAGACTCAAAGGGCTATAAAAAAGATACTTACAAGAAATTCAATGTGCATTACAAAGATGGTCATTCATTACAAAGTAGAAGCCTAGTACATCACACCAAGTACATCGACATGGTAGCATTCAAGTCCCTAGTAAAATCTAACTCCCAGATCTTTCAAAGTACAATTGTTTAATGAGAAGTTCCATTCTTTTCCTTGATGAATCCCTTGATTGTTGGAGCAACATGAAGTGTGATGTGCTTGAGCTTTTTTGATCTTCGAGGCTACTCTTGGTTCTTGTCCTTCTAAGCTTGCCCCCTAGACTTGGCAATTATCAATGATGGGAGAGAAATGCTTGCAATTGGAGATCTCCTCAATCCTTTGTTGGTCAAAGCTTTCTCCATGGATGAATATTTCAAAAGGTGTCTTGATTGATGAAGAATCACGCTTAACCATGTATGAATCCATATTGCAATTGTTGAAGGTAGAGAATCAAACAAGATTATGGGAATGCAAGGAAAGAAATAAACATGGATGCTAAACAATAGATGAAGGATGCAAGAAGATATATATGCTCTAAAGTGATAATGTGTGAAATTGTGTCCTAAAACATGGATTTTTGGAATGCAAGAAAAGAAACAAACGTGGATGGAAAATGAGAGAAAGGATGCAAGAATATAAACATGCTGACAAGTGGTAGTGTGTGAAGTTGTATCCTAAAACATGAATTTTTCTTCATTAAGTATGCTAAGCAAGTCTCAAAGGAGAAGTTGATGATTCACTATTGCAACTCATTAAATTCGCATTCATAGGAAGTATTATTCCTTTGAAAAAGAGCAAATGCCATGAAGCTTGAAGAAAAAGTGAATGGTGTGATGCTTGGAGAAAATGGATGATGTGCTGCTCCAGAGCTATGTGCTCAAATTATTTTGATATCTAAAAGATGGTATTTTTTTTTTGAATTTATCTTTGAAGAACCCCCTTTTTTCCTTTTTTCCTTTTTTTACAAAAATGCAAAATGCTTTGAATCTAGTTGAATAAGGCCCACAAGTTTGAAACATGCAAGAAAATGCAAGATGGTGAGAACTTTGAATGAAAGTTTGGACAATTTTTTTTTGAAAATCATGACTTGAAGGACTTGATTGAAGAACAAGAAAATATGAGGATCAAATTTAATTTTATTCTAAACATGAAATGAGCATGAGATGAATGTCAATTTGACATGGGATCGAAAATGTGATGTAAGGTTGAATATGAGTTGCAATGAAAAATGGGATTGAATGAGAACTAAACATGGACAAGATTTTCATTTTTATGTAATTTTTTTTTATAAAGTGTGGGACACATGAGAAATATAGGATAGATAGAGATAATAATACTTGAAATGAAATGTGAAATGCAATGCAAAATGCATGTGAATGAAATTTCCATTTTCATTTTTATGCACTTGTTTTTGAACTATGAAATGGAAATAGTGATGGTTGAAATGAAATATGTGATGAAAAAGGGAATGTGAAATGAACATGGAAGAAATTTTCATTTTC